TTCAGCTCAAGGCGAGCGCTCTACCACTTGAGCTACAGCGCCACTTCCGGTTTTCTGGTGGTTTATTGGAGATAGGAGTCTCACGGTCTTTCCTGCCCGGGCTGGCTTTGAACCGCGATCCTCAGATCTCAGCCTCCTGAGTAGCTAGGATTACAGGCGTGAGCCACCAGCGCCCGGCTCAAAAATTTTTTAATCTCAAAAGGGGAAAAAGGAACTTATTCTTCCAGTTCAATGAACTTATGTAAGTAGTTTCCATGATAGGTTACCTTTTTCTGTCAATTGGCTATGGATTGCTGAAGTTTAAATCTTAACTAATTTTACTATATGAACTTTTAGTATATACACTGTCACTTATCCAGAGCACTCATTTAAGTAATTTATAAATGAAACACTGATGGCAACTATAAATTTAAAACAGACAGTAAGTTATCAATCTTGAAAATGTAAAAGGAAAATAATACGAGATAAATTAACAAGGTGAGTAAAGAGGAATGGAGAGAAAGAGAAGCTATTATATCTTCATCCTTTACAGTATAGAACCAAAATATGCCATTGTCCTTGGAAGACCAGATAATGTATTTATTGCTACTTTATAGAGACTGCACTGAGTAGTAATGTTGTTAACTATGTTCTCGACACTTACTCTAAAGTTTTAGGCAATGAAGGCAAAAGAGGATTAAAAACACTAAGAAATTTGTTTGCATCTATGAAAAGAAAACAATAAAACCTGCTGAAATTGTTTTAAGAAGTAGGACAAGACTGAAGAACAGAGAATATGAGTCTGATTGGGATACAATGTATACATGTATGGAAATGTCATGCTAAAACCTCCCTTGTACAATTAATGTATTCTTATAAAAAATTAAAACTTGTCAGGCACCAGGAGTTCACAGCTATAATCCTAGCTACTCAGGGGGCTGAGACCTGACAAATCAAAGTTAGAAAGCCAACCCAGGCAGAAAAATCTGTAAGACTCCATCTTCAATTAAGTGTGGTTCAAGTGGTATAGAACTAGTAGTAAGCAAGTAAGCCAACTGAGACCCCAAGGCCCTGAGTTCAAGCCCTAGTACCAGGAAAAAAAAAAAGAGGCTGTTCATTTCACTATATAATGCAATGCTTAAATGATCCTTCAGTGGGGGAAAGGGGTTAAAACTTTGGGGGCTGGAGATGTAGTATAGTAGTAAAGTGTTTGTCTAGCATGTGCAAGGCCCTGGGGTTGATCACTAGTACAAGTAAAAAACGTTTAAGTTATGAGTAAAGAACACCAGAACCAATGATGGTGACCTAAGTACACTAAGGAAGAAGAAAGAGATAAGGAGAAGAGTGAAAAAAGGCTGATGCCTCATGTATCAGGACAATAAGTCGAAAGATAATGTTTAAGAAACAGAAACAACGCATATTACCTGAGAGAAACAGAGATTATCCCCAGAAGAAATAAACTGAAACTTCATAAGTGGGTCTCTCCAGAAAATAAGACTTGGATAAGAAGACATAGAACATAAAATGTGTGTGTGTGTGTGTGAGAGAGAGAGAGAGAGAGAGACATGCCAATCCCATGCTAAGACTGAGGAGGAAATCAATCATGGTGGCAGAGAATTATAATCCCAGCACTCAGAAAACTGAAGCAAGATCTAGTGTTCAGTCCTGGGCAAGATATTGGCTCAAAAAAAAAAAAAAAGAATGAAGGAATGAGGGAAAAGAAGGGGAGAAAGAAGAAGAAGGGAGGAGAAGGGGAAGAAAGGGGAAAGAGATGAAGAAAGGAGGAGAGGACAGGGGAAGGAAGATGATGTTCAGATAACAATCAGGAAGACATTGTAGCTATGGTTCTTGGTGAAAGGGTTTCTAGAAGAGGGTTAGCAGCAATGGTGGACAATGTCAATCCTACCTACAAAAGTGCCTGTCTTGGGTGGGGCTTGAACTCAAGTATGAACCACTGGGACCCAACTTAAAAGGCCTTTTAAAGCAACATGTATTTTCATTGGTATGTTACATAATAATTATGTAAGAATTATTGTGCATGCCTAAAAATTAAGAATTTCTGTGTAGGCCTATATGATTGCAACTCATTCCCTGACAATTCATTTACTTTTATTCTTTTTTGTAATTTGTTATTTAATTCTTCCTTATCACATTTCTTTTTTTCTAATTTACTTTTCATAGGACTAGGACTGACAGATAAGAAAAATGGTAAGTGCTATTTGTCAATATCAGATGATAGCACTTAACAGCCAGAAACAAAAACTAAACCACAAAATCCAGAAACTAACTTTGTAGTCAGTATTTTGAGTAAAACAGTTTTCATTTACTTACACTTTAATGTCTCGCCAGCATATGGTATGTGGAGTTTGAATCGGTCACAGTTGGGTCCGGGAGTCAATGATATGCATCTTAAAAAAAGAAGAAGAAAAAGAAAAAATATAAAACTATACTAAAATCCTACATGTGTATAATAATTAACAAAGTAAATAAAAGTGACCTTTACAGGTTAAAAGGTCAAAACACTTGCAACAGAAAATAAAAACAGGAAAAAAAATTCAACAGTCATAGAGTCCAGAACAATAAACCTGTCCTCATGTAAGTCACAATAAAACTGACATACCTTCTTCAACAACAAACATCAGCAGTGAGTGCTTCAACCACATCTTGCAAAAAAGTGCATTTTGTCTTTTTTTTTTTTTGGTCTTTTTCTTGTTTTGGTCTTGGGGCCTGAACTCTGGGCCTGGGTGCTGTCCCTCAGCTCTTCAGCTCAAGGCCAGTGCCTACCACTTGGGCCACAACACCACTTCCAGATTTTTTCTGCTTATATGGTGCTGAGGAATCAAACCCAGGGCTTCATGCATGGGAGACAAGCACTCTACTACTGAGCCAACTTCCCAACCCTGTAACTTGTCTTTTAAAACTACATGTAGCCAGGCACCACTGGCTCATGCCTTTAATCCTAGATACTCAGGAAGCTGAGATCTGCAAATCATGGTTCACAACCAGCCCAGGCAAAAAAGCCTGTGAGAGTCTTATCTCCACTAAACTACTCCCAAAAAAGCTGGAAGTGGAGCTATGGCTCAAGGGTAGAGCACTAGTCTTGAGCAAAAGAAGCTCAGGTACAGCACTCAGGCCGAGTTCAAGCCCCAAGACCAAAACAAGGAAAAAAAAAAAATTCATATATCATCCAAAACAACTCTCCCAGTCTTTGACGCCAAGAATTATAAACGAGTGATTTTATAGTCATATTTTAAACATATACTCTTAGCTTCCATTCTGTTCATAGACTAAAGAGCCCATTTTTGGCATTTTTCTGGTACCAGATGGTTTTCTTTCTTTCCATAAAGGTACACGGTTTCCTCTAGTTTTAGCACTGAAACTTTCATCTACATGAGAACCCAATGCTGGATTTCAGGTAAAATGCAAATGAAAAGGTGGGGGGAGGGGGGGATGTTTCAATTAGTCACCTAGGTCTCAAGGTGGGGCTTTTTCCTTGATTACTTTACAAAATTCTACAATGTTCTTTGCTCTTCATACAACATTTATTTTACAAGATGTTTTCTGATCTTACAAGTCAGAATTTTGACTGTTGCACAGTGGTACTGGCCTCAAATTATAAGATACTTACATGAAATGAACTGAAGAAGTGTCTTAAGTTAATTTTTTAAAAGGAAGGTCATTGATTTATAAACTAAAACATGGATACTAATTTATCTTCGTAATTCCAAAACTGGCCTGAAGCAATTCTGAGAATGAACATACAAAGGTAGTTTAAAGGATAGAAATATAGTTGGAATAAATGGTCAATTTCCTTAGCTAGCCACTTGAAACAGTCATATGAAATATACTCAAGAAATGTTGGTTTTAAAGAACTCAGTCCTCTTATCAGATTTACCTTTAGATTTCTAAATATAAGAAAGAGAATACAGGAGTAACTATCAGATATGTTTAACATTGATCACCTAGGTTGAAGATTCACCTTCAAGGTTTAAAAAAAAGTAATAGTTGGGCTACAACTATTTTAATATTTGACAGATTTTAAGAATACATTATTTCCTTCCAGTAAAAAACATTTCCTTCTTCATTTCCTTCCTCTACCCCTTCCTCCTAGATTGGGAGTATGACTTAAATGGTAGATTGCTAGACTTGAGCAAAAGACCCAAGCCCCACAAGTGGCAATGAAAGAAAAGTACCAAAATATCTCCCTTCTACAAGGTGGGTATTCCTCATTCAAAATGCTTGGGAGAAGTATTTCAGATTATCTTTTGTAATATGTGCATATACGTAGGATATCTCAGGGGTGGGACTCAACAACAAACATCATCAGTGAGTGCTTCAACCACATCTTGCAAAGAAGTATAGCTTGTCTTTTAAAACTACACGTAGCCAGCCAGGCACCGCTGGCTCATGCCTTTAATCCTAGATACTCAGGAAGCTGAAATGTGCAAATCATAGCTCACAACAAACCAAGGCAAGAAAGTCTGTGAGATTCTTATCTCCACTAACCTACCCCCAAAAAAGCTGGAGTGGAGCTGTGGCTCAAGGGTGGAACACTAGTTGTTGGATCTCATTTAAGTTTAATGTACATTTTTTGTACCACAGCCTCAAGGTACAATATTGTTCATGCACCTATGCTTTAACTGATTGCTGTCACATGATGTCAGATATAAAATTTTCCAATTGTGAAATCAGGATTGCACTAAAAATTTGGACTTTGAAACTTCTGGATTAAGGTTGCTCAAAAGCTACATAATAAAATGTTTTCTATCCTGTAATACAGTACCTTATTTGAGAAGACTTATGGAAAACATAAATTCTAGCATTACAAAATATAGAAATTAGGAAGTAGCACTGTGTCTCTAAGTGGTAGAGTGCTAGCCTTGAGCAAAAAGAACTCAGGGACAACACCCAGGCCTCAAGTTAAAGCCCCACAACTGACAAAAATAGACAGACAGACAAACAGATAGATAGATCTAATGATAGTAAGACTATTATAAGCAACACTAAGGATATTCAATCTGCGCTGGGCACCCGTGGCTCATGTGTGTAATCCTAGCTACTCAGAGGGAGGCTGAGATCTGAAGATCACGATTCAAAGCCAGCCCGGGCAGAAAAGTTCATGAGACTCCTATCTCAAATAAAACACTAGACAACTGGAAGTGGTGCTGTGGCTCAAGTGGTAGAGCGCTCACCTTGAGCTGAAGAGCTCAGGGACAGCGCCCAGGCCCAGAGTTCAAGCCCCACGACCGACAAAAAAAAAAAAAGAAAAAGAAAAAAAATTCAATCTGCAATGCTTCAAAATGATGAAAAATACAATCTATAGTCTTTTGACTTTGAGGACCACATTACCTATTTACCTAGTATAAAAACTGAAGCTAGCAGTATGAAATTGGCAGGACTAATCTGATTCTAGTTGTCTGAATAACTCATTCCCTTTCTATGTCAAATTGTCTGAGTTTCTGAATTCTCACATTAACTTTACATCATTTATTTTCTGCTTTACCAGTATCGGGAAACCATTTTGTGAAGTACTACTTTACCTTCCTCCTGATCACCCTCCTTTCTCGCCACATCAACAGCTGGTTCTAACAACCCTAGGGTATTCTGAAAAGCATATTTCCCCATCTGAGTGATTCATTCATTGTTTTGGGGCAGTTTTCCATTTAGATAAGAGTTATTGAGCATTGGTGGTATTAGGAATGCAACAATGACAAGCAGACAAAAATCTAGCCTCCTAGTACTTGACTGGGGAAGACAATAAACAAAAGATAAATACATAAAAATGACAAGATTGTTAAATGCTATGAAAGAATAAAAGAAGTACTACAAGAAAACAGGAGCCACTTTAAACTAAAAAATCAAGGAGAACTTCGAGAAAAGGTGAAATTGAAACTTGAATAACACAAAGAGTCCAACCATGCAAAGTTCTGTGAAAGAACATTCCAGGCAGAGAAAACAGAAGGTGCAAAGGCGTGAAAGCAGGCACAAGTTTAATGTACCTGGAGAAGAAATCTGTCCATATCTGGGCAATTGCAACAGGGTAGAGTGAGTGGGGAGAGAATACAAAAGTTGAGGATATGGGGAAAACAAGGGACAAATCAGGCAGAGTTTTGCAAGCAGCGTCAATTCAGTTTTATGCCAACGTGATGGGAGGGTTCAAACCAGAAGAGTCACTGATTCTGTTTCTAAAAGATTGCTGTGCCTATACTACAGAAAAGAACTGTAAGAAGTGAAATAAAATAAAATGGTCAGATAGGAGACCATTCAAGGCAAGAGACATAAGGAACTGTAAGTACACTGTAGCTAGGATAGAAGTAGCAGGGAGGTTGATGAATGGACTCTAGTTGGAGAAGGGAGAGAAGGGATATCAAGAGTGTAAAGAATGAGATGATAACCAAGTCTTCTATGGAAACACAACCAAGTGATGGGTAGGGAGAGCCTTGCATTAGAGAGAGAGCTGTATGCTCTTGAAAAGATCACTCAATGTAGGATAGAAGGTGGAGGGAAACAGTTCTAATCCTCCTGAGTACATTCAAGCAAAAATGTACAATCTCATTAACTGAGGGCTTCTGATTTGCTGAATAAACATTCACAAATTTGGGGCCAGCCCAACTGTTCAAAGTGACAGAGCAAAGCTGCCATCAACTGGTCTCTCTCCTCAGCAGTCTGAGCAGCCCTCAGCATCTCTTCCAACAAATGGTGAAGAAATTAATGAAAGTATCTGTTATCCTCTATCTTTCATATTCCCCAGGACAAGCAGGACTATGAGAAAGAAGCTAATATTATGTAACTAAAGTTTCTTTCAAGATTAAATTGCTTCCTCTTCTTAAACTGTTTTATCTAAAATTGGGTTTAGTCATGTTATCTCATTTTAGTATGAAAATTCAAATTGCACTCAAAGACAGCATTTATTTACCTGGTTATTAGAAAACAGTATGGTCAGCTCAGTGGCAAAGCACATGCTAGAGCAAGAACAAGCTAAAAAGACCGAAAACAAAATACGCATGGTATGATTTCACTTGCAGAAAAAGAAGAGTTGTGTATGTTTACATACTTAAGTAGATTGCAGGAGAGTCAGCAACATGTAGCAAGACCAGTGATTTTACAACTTTCTTCAATTACCTCGCTGCATTGTTTTGATTTTGTAATGAATATGAACTATTGTACAATTATAACACCAGGACTCCTTTGCACAGGTCAAAATTTTCTTAATAAAGACACAGAAACACAACAAATCCAAGAAAAGTTGGATAAATAGGATTGCATTAAACTGCAGAGCTTCTGCATGGCAAAGGACATGGCTAGCAAGATCAAGAGAAAGCCCACAGATTGGGGGAAGGTCTTCACTAGCCATATAATAGACAAGGGCCTCATCTAAACTATACTTAGAGCTCAAAAAATTAAATCC